TTTGAACACAACCTGATATTGGAGCCCCCACGTTCACAGAATGAAAACAAGACCGACCTTCACATTGCTCAGGCTTGCAGGTATGATTCTAGCTTGAGAGAGACCAGTGTCTGGAGGGCGGAAAAGGGTGAAATAATGACAAAAAAAGGCAAAAAAAGCCCAAATGAGGCAGAAAAAAAACACAAATAACGCAAAATGCCAAAAATTTGCATTGAACCTTAAATAGGCAAAAAAAAGGCAAAATGAAAATCTACTAAAACAACTCCAGAAGTACACTTACGTGTTTCCATTGTTAAAAGTCATAAAATCGTAACAATCATAAAAAGGCATTCTTCCAAACTTCCGGTTCTAATTGTAATACTAGATGAATACCTGTAAAATTTTGCACTATTTAAGACAGCATATGTCAACGCCGCCATCGACGGATAACATCACCTGGATATCAGCTACCTGACGCAATATACCTTACTGTGAGTGTTCCCAACTCGCAAAAAATGTTTGTCGTATAGGTACAAACTTTTACGGCTTTTATTCATCGGGGGGATTAAACATTTTGGCAATAATACAGCATATTCATCCATGTATTATTTCATTATTATTATTATTATTATTATTATTATTATTATTAACACTTCAACCATCATTTAAAAAATTCAAACAATTTAATTCAATACGCAAAAAATATTAAAGATTTGAAGAAGTGCACATAAAAGTATATTGAAGATATAATCTTCAGAAACAGATTTCATTGAAAAGAAATTCTATCTTTAATGTAGTTGGAGTGACGAAAAAAAAATTGAACATTTGCAACTTTCAAAATTCTAGATGTTTGAATGGAAATCGAATTTTTTCTTACTATTAACCAAAATTTTCTTTTTTCGAGACAACACCATAGAGAATATAATACTTTGGTAAACAAATCTTGCTCTCATTAAAGTTATCAATATAGTAATAAAAAAACGAAAATCTACTCATGTTTTTAAAAAATTGTTCATGACATTAATTGAACACGTTCAATTTTTAAGTACACATTGCAAAATGTGTATTTAATCATGTAGTTGTAAGAAGAGATATTAAAAATGGTACACTTTTCAATGTTCAAAACTGCTAAAGTTTTTCTGAAAATTTGATGAGTGTTATTTATATAATGCTTTATAAATCGTTGGCTCTCTATTCGATCAAAAAATTAAAACACAAAATGGGAGCAGGTTTAGAGAAAATTTGAAAATGTTATAGGGGCTTTATGTAAATTACTCCCCCAAATTAAAAGATTCGCTTAAATTCGAGGGGGTGCTATGCCACGAAGATCGATTGGTGCCTGGTTGATAGACGAACGGACGGGCGTATGATTTGCGATACCTTTCTTTATGTAAACCAGAACATGGGTTCTGGCCCTACAGAACGTTAATTATGATTACAGAACGATACCAGAAAGTCATTTTCTACATATAGGAGCAAAGCCAGAGGCACACAAATATTGTTTCCAGACTTTACATTGGCACGTTTTGCTGCAGCATTCCATAACATACTCTTACTAGCACATACGAAGATATGTAAATTCAAAAAACGACTTTCTCATTAAAGACTCAAAAAACGAATATTTCTGTCAAAATATCGGCTCTTTTTCTCACATCGTTACCTAAATAATCCTTATAAAGTTTATACCTATGAGAAAGACAAAATGTGGCGCTATAAGAGCATATTTTCTATACTATTTGTATTTGTAACACATATAATAATAAAATTTATCTTTTAAAACTCACTTTCACTGTTCTTGAACCATAAGTGGTTCACAAAATAAATACTCTATTGTTTTAGTTCGTCCGTGAACCACATGTGGTTCAGACGTTTCCAACTTATATGGCAAATTTGTCCATGGAACGTGCTGGAACTCCACGAATTTTGGTTTGGACTTGCTAGTTCGGTCATATAATTTTAAAATGCATCGGAACGCATGGACAAATATTTTTATTTATGAACATATTCCAATATAATTATGGTTGGAAAGCCGTTTGGACATGCGAACATACTATTTTAAGGTTTTAATGGGGGCAGGGAATATGTTAATACTTAAGCTGCCTGTTGAAATATTTCACCAAGCAAATTGCAGCAGAATAAAAAAAGTTCTATAACTTTCGCCAATGTAAAAATTGTATATGAATTTTAATGTTAATGTTTGAAACAAAGGTTTTATTTTCAAATTTCAATTTCTAACAAGTAAAACAATCTAATACGTTGTTTACAAAAAAGTATGCACTAATGGGTGATGTTACGTAAGCTACCATTGTAAAAACTATATTTTTAAATTGTATGGAATAGAAAAACAGAAATTCACGCATCTCCTCGACAATTAACAGAACAGAATACAATGCGTTCAGATAACCTCAAAAGCGTTCTTTAAATTTGTCAAAGTAAGAAGTTCTCGCAAGGATTCTGTCACGTCGCCCCCCCTCCAAGCAAGTTTTGCCCAAAACCAATGTCGACCATCATAAGGTAGTTAGAGTCTGTACATTTTTACTTGACAAAACAAGACCACAATTGTCGAAAGAAGTAATGCTAATGATTACCTCTCCTCAACCGGTTGTTCTCGGAAGTGTAATAATTAAATAAATTTAATTAATAATTATTAAGAATTTGCGTAAATTTGGCTTTCAGGAATCACGTTTAAGAATGTATCGAAACTTGCGAAAAAGTTAAAAGCGATTAATTCGAAGTTAAAGTTAAACATCACCGGAGGGGAAAATTAGACTAGAAATTAAGCAGATTATTTCAGATAATATACTTACAACAATATACATCCATGTGCATATATTTTTATCTTATTTTATTTATCTCCTTTAACTGAGATAAGCTATCATAACATTTTTTCTACTTTGTTCTCCAAATGTGTTTTCTCTATGAGAATATCAAAAGAGGATAAACAAATTTAATGATATACTTTTTCACACCAAAAGCATTCGACAAGAAAGAGTAATTTTTATTTTAATGAAGTGCACTAAAGTATTTACGACTTCTTTTAGATTTGGAAGCTTCAAGTACATCTTTATTGAATGATTGGTCCGATTCATAGTAAGCCTCAAGAGAACGTTTGACCAGAGGACATGTTGCGATAAAAATAAATGTATTGATAGGCATCCATATAAACCAAATATTTATTCTGAGACTTTCGGTTATTTATTTCCTGTATGAATACAAGTTTCAGCGTCGTTCAATAACCGATCCTTTTCCATCGGGTCACGGATCTCGATGTCACCAGCACCAAGTAAACGAGCAATTTCGACCAGAACATTATCGACTCTCGAGATAAAGTTGGAAATAAATCACATGATGAAACAAGTTCATTACTAAAGTTATACATGGTGAAAAGATAGAATCGGTGACGAAGTTCTGTAAGCCGAATTCATTCACAACCATTTTACAATCACCTTAATCTAATATTTATTTACTCGTATCTTACATCATAATTTTCTCTTCGCGTCCATGAAAGTGGAACTGTATGGGAATATTGAAATAAAATTGTGTAGATTATTAACGTATTACTCAGGTATTACTCTCAGAAAGCGCAATAAATTATTAGAGTACGTTTCCCTAGAATTCTAGACATATTCCAAAAACAATAAAGAATGTTGCTAGCAACATTAGGCAGTAGTCTATAATATTAAATATATGTGTAAATGCATTGGATTATGTCGGCCAGTAAGTATTTGCGTCTGTTAGTGTCTACAAAACGAATTAGTCATAGAAGCCCCTTGTAATGTAAAAAATATGTGTTGAAAACTGAAACCCTCTTCAAATACGAAATCTTGTAGTCGTTTAATAATTATTTCAACATTAATAACAAATAATACACTGCGAAAAAAACAAAATAATTATATTACTTAAAATATGCTCCGAAAGGTACTAGAGTTCTTCCTTTACCTCCAGCTGTCCTTCCCCACGATGTTCAACATGTTACTAACGAAGAAAATAAAAATTGTCTCGAAATTGTAAACAAACTCAGAAATCGTTTCCTCCTTGGTCCAGGTTGAACATTTTGTAAGTAAAATCAAAATACGCACCCCTGTAGAAAAAAAGAGTAAGCCATTATTAGTGGAAAAATCAATATGTTAAGCATAACAGTTTAGAAGAGAACGCCACTATTTTAAATTTTAAAAAAGAAAAAAAAAGGAAATATTACTTAAATAATTTTTTGTACTACCAAGTTTTCACGTGTATTGTGTGTGTGTACTAAATGGAAGAAATATTTTAATGAAATTTGCCTTTGATAGCGATGGTAGCACAAATAGTCAGCGAACACCAGCAAATCCTGTCCAATACGACTCTCCGCAAGCGCTCAGCGTCTTCGCAACCATCTCTTCACCCGTCTGGGTCACCGATCCCCGTGTCACCAAAGCTGTAATTGGCGGCAGATTCGGCCAATCTTTTTCGGCGCCGGCGCCAGCGGGGCGGCTCGAGGGAAGCCCCGCGGATGGGGGGAGGTGGGGGTTGCGCCGGGACGGGGCGGCGCGGGGCGAAGCGAGGGCCTCAAAGGGCGAGTCAGGGGGCAGATGGCCGCGCTTGATAAACGCTCGCCGTAATACACTACACAGCGAGGTCCGACCTGCTCATAGTTACTCAGATACTAGCATCAGATACGGGCCAACGCGCGGCTAGTGGACGGTCCTGCGACGAGCATAGCAGCAGCCAGCAGGCAGCCGCCGCCGCCGACGACGACGCAGAACCCGCCACTCGAGCAAGGTTGTAGCGAGCGCGGTGAACGCAGCGCGCCGCGGCCAGTAGGCCGTAGGTTGCAGGCTGCCCCGGGCCGAGGGACAACGTATATACCGGCCCGGGCATGGCCGCCGACAATAGGAAGGACCGCACGGAACCAGTATTGTTTTTTAAGGCGGAGCCAAAAGACTTTATCGGCCGCCGACATGTTGCTGGCCGAACGATATACACATACCATACACAAGCGCACGATCGGCCATGACACCATAATCAACAGTCAGCGCTCGCGCGACTTTTGCAATGCCATCTGCGTCTCGCTGCAGGCGCCCTTCTACCCCCACGAGGTGAGCAGTAAAGCGATGGAAAGAGCAGGATGCAAACGCTGAGCACGCCATTATGAAAGCTAACTATGCGTTCTGAGTACTAACCTCTCTGTAAATTACAGAAATTCAAACCATGAGTCAATGATCTTTTCTCTTAAATATACTTTGTTTAGCTTTTCTTTATGCTAGATTTAAAAGGATTGAAAATATGTCTTGTGGAAAAATTATAAAGGTGAAATATGAGGACAAGAATATTATTTTTGGCTGAGGAATTGGGACCTTATTTAAGGAATTATTCGAACAATACTATTAAAGTTAATATTATTTTTAAGCATTATTTTTGTCGGTCTAACATAATGCAGAGAAAATTCGATCACCTATTATTTTTCCTATTATTTTTGAAGTCTGTTTTTCCACTAAACATCACTAACGCTGTGACAGCTGGAAAATTGTGAAAATTTCTAAGGACAATTATCATTTAATGTAGAAACGATTTCCAACTTACAAATGGCCTAAATTTCATGAAATAATTTGGATACAAATGCTCAATTCTGAATATCTAAGAACTTTTTAATATATGAAAAATAAGGGTGTTTTTTAAGATTTGGAGATTTACATATTCAATATCTGGGGAATTGTAATTAGAAAAACTAGAAAGGGCATACCTCTGACTTTGAATCTTCCACCAAACACACAAATCGTTTTTATAATGTCATTTATTCTCTCGGAGAAGTTGTGAAGAATTATTATTCTTGTAAACAAATGTAATTGACATTCAAAGTATGGTAAGCGATGTCGTATAGATTATAAAGCAACAGTACAATTTTGGGTTAGGGTGAAATTTGAATTATCACTTATTTATCTTTGAAACATAACATATGAAAAATTATGATTCTGGACAATCTCGTGTAGAAAAAAAATTCTTTCCCTCCCAGTGCAGAATAGTATAAAATTTTAATTTTTTTAAATACAATTCCTGTAAACTAAGAATAGAAAGTTTGATTCCAAAATTTTATCCCGAACCTGAACTAAGCTTATCGCAGTAAACCATACGTAACTTCACAGTTAGTCGCCCTAGTAAAATATAAAGCCGATTAAATAGAGATTCGATAATGTTACCGAATTTCGTTAATCTATCATCCCCGCTTGGATTGTCTGATTTCACACACACACACA